GAGCTAAACCCCCAGCCCCTCATTTTTAGCCTTGAACTTACTATGTAGCCTAAGCTGGCTTCCAACTTGGAGCAATCCTCCTGCCTCTGCCACATGAGTACTAGAATCACAGGCATGTGCCTCCACTCCCGGCTGTCAATTGCCCATTTCTTTCTTTCTTTCTTTCTTTTATTTTTGTCTTTTTCCTTTTTATCGGTACCAGGGATTGAACTCATGACTGCCTGCTTGCAAGGCCGGCGCTTATGCTGCTGAGCTAAATCCCCAGCCCAGTTGCCCATTTCTTAATTGAGCCTTTAATTTTGGGGAATCCTAATTTTTTTGAGTGAGTTCCATATTCTAGATAGTCTTCTGTCCAAGTAGTATCTAAAAAAAACTTTTTCCCATTCTGTAATTATTTTTTCCCCCTACTCTGCTTCTTTCCTTTGCTATGCAGAAGCTTTTAAGCATGAAATACTACCATTTGATCCATTTTGTTGTGCTTTGTTTTTTGAGACAAGCTGGGTTAGCCCTTGTAGCCTAGGCTGGCCTCATTCATGGAGATCCTCCTGCCTCAGCTTCCCAAGTGCTGGGATTACATGTGTGCCACCATACTCTGGCATGGTGTATGCCTTTTTTTTTTTTTTTTTTTTTTTTTTTGTCTTTTTCCTTTTTATCAGTACCAGGGATCGAACTCACGACTGCCTGCTTGCAAGGCAGGCGCTTATGCCGCTGAGCTAAGTCCCCAGCCCCGGTGTATGCCTTTTTTAATGGCTTGTTAGTGTTCTGTTGGTCTTTATCTTGTTTAGGATCTTTGTACCTGTGATCATTAAAGACACTGTCTTGCAGTTTTCTTTTTTAGTTGACTGTTTTGGAATCTAGGTTTCTAGTGAGTTTGATGATACACTTTCCTTTTCAGCTTTTCATTGCAGTTTGAAGAGTATAAATGTTTGGTTTTTCCTTCAAGTTCTTGTAGAATTTAGTAGGGAAGTCATCTGGTTCTGGGGTTAATTATGTTTTTTTTTGTTTCTGCCTCAATTTCATTGCCTGTGATTGGTTATTCAGGATTTATCTTTTTGGTTCAGTTTCAGTAGTTCATAATATATTTAGAAACTGTCCGTTTCTTCTGAATTTTCCAGTTTGTTGGCATACAGGTTTCTATTTACACCTTTTGAAAACAAGTTACATCATGTACAGATACAAATTTATCAATGATGAATGTGACATATATCAAAGAGTGTCAGTAAAATTAATAAAAACATAATTTTGAGACAGTGTTGCTGGGTCACCTAGACTGATCTTGACATCTATTTATGCAGATTGGCCTTGAATTCTTGGCAATCCCTAGTGCTGGGAAGTAGTTTTTTTTCTCTTTGCTCTGCAGTTCAGTCTGGCCTCGATTGTAGCTTGCAAAACTCTTACTGCCTGAGGCTCCTGGGATTATAGGCTACCACACAGCGTTTTTTTAATACCAAATTTTATTAATTACTGCTCTGACTTTTTTTTTTGGTCTTTTTCCTTTTTATAGGTACTAGGGATCGAACTCATGACTGCCTGCTTACAAGGCAGGCGCTTATGCTGCTGAGCTAGATCCCCAGCCCCCTGCTCTGACTTTTATGATTTCCTTCTTTGCATTGGCTTTGGATTTGCATTCTCTTTCCCCTTTCTCATTCCGTAATGGGCTCCCTCCTATGTTTTTGTGACCTAATTAGGGGAATGTACACTTGTCTTTTTGCAGGACTAAGAATTGAACCCAGTCCCTTAGCATTGACCTATAATCTGCAGCCTACTTTGCACCTTCTTTTTGAATACAGGTTTTAAGTTGCTAAATTGCCTAGGCAGGGTTTGAATTTGGAATTGGCCTGCCTCAGCCTTCCAGAGTGCTAGGATTAATGGTATGTGTCACCATGACCCACTGTTTGTCAGTTTTCCAAGTCTGACTTATTTTGCTTAATATAATTCATCCAGATATATCCATTCGCTTCAAATGACCAAAGTTTTTCTTTGTATGAATAATACTCTTGTGTGTATAAACCACATTTAGTCTTCATTTGTAGTTTTTGGTTTTGTTTTTCAGGGTTAATAGGGATTGAACCAAGAGCCTCAGTGATGAGCTATGTGCCTGGCTCTTTTATTTTTAATTTTGACAGTCTAAATTTCCCAGGCTGTTCTTGATCTTGATATCCTTCTGCCTCAGCCTCACAGAATCCTGGAATCCTAGGCTGGTTCATATTTTGGTTATTGTAAATTGTGCCACAATAGGGTGGGTATGCAGGAATTCCTATAGTATGCTGAATTAAATTCCTTTGTGTGTACGCCAAGGGGTTGTGTGACTAGATCAAATGGTAGCTCTATTTTTGAGACAGCATCTCAATAGTATAGGTGGTCTGGGATACAATATCCAGCCCAGGCTGGGTTTGAATTTGCAGTGATCTTTCTCCCTCAGCTCCCCAAGCACTGGCGTGTGATACCATACCTGGCTCGTTAGTTTTTTGAGGAATCACAAACTGATTCTATAGTGGCTGTGCTAATTTACATCCCTGTTATAATAATAGTGCTTTTCTGTTATGCATATGCATATTAATGACCCTGAAATCTTGGTAAAGTTTAGCTAAAATTCTAACCGAACTGTTGTATGAAGGTACCAGAGGTTCCAAAGCTCAAAGCAGTGCTACTCTATTGGTGGTTGGTCCTGGGCAACATGGGGAAATAGGGAAGGTCTATACTTGGGATGGGCCTGATCAAAGAATGAAAAGAGTTTACCTTAAATCTGGGACATACTATAAATCCACCTAGGGCTGTCACTTGCCTCTTCAAACTGAGTCCCACACCGCCCCCTGGTGGACACTGTACAAGTCCATCTAGCAGTCAGGCCCCCACAGTTAGTGCTTCTAGAAGGTGCCGGAAGTCTAGAGCCCTTGACTGGTTGGGCCTGGTGAGTCTCAGATAAGGGCCAGGCAGGGCAAGGGTCTGACTTAGCCAGACAGAGGCTTTTTTTGGAAAAACTTTCTCAGACGGTCCCAGGATAGTAATAGGGTGTGTCATTAGTAAATGATTCCCGTTCTTTGTAGGTTCTTTGTGTTTCAGAACCACACTCCGTGCCTAGGCTTCATTTTTGCCAACCAAAGGGAATTTAAAAAGTCAAGACCTGCCGGGAGTGGTGGCTCATGCCTGTAATCCCAGTACTCGGAGGCTGAGGTAGGAGGATTGTTGCGAGTTCAAGACCAGCCTAGGCTACAAAGTGAGCTCAAGGCCAGCCTGAATTTCATAGCGAGCCCCTGTCTCAAAAAAGACCAAAAAAAAAAAAAGTCAAGACCAGTAACTTTTGGAAATTAGGGCTTAAGTTGGCACTTGGGCCCCTGGGCTAACCCAGTCTAAACTTGATCCTAGTTTACCTATTAAGTCTCTGTAAGTGAGGGCATGGTGCTGGAACCAGGGCCTGGAACACTGGGCCAGTCCTCTACCATGGGTATGGCATTGGCCTTTGATGTGACTTTTTTTTGTGGTGTTTTTTTGCTATGTTCTTGCTACATAGCCCAAGCAGGCTTGGAACCTCAGCCTCACAGCCCCACACCTGGCTAGATGTGTGGTCTACCTCCCCCCGCTTTGAGGCAGAATCTTGCTGTGCCTTTTAGGCTTTCCTTGAGCTTATTTTTTTTTTTTTTTTTAATTTTTTTTTTTCTTTTTCATTTTTATCGGTACCAGGGATCAAACTCACGACCGCATGCTTGCAAGGCAGGTGCTTATGCCGCTGAGCTAAATCCCCAGACCCCTTGAGCTTATTTTGTAGCCCAGGATAGTCTCAACTTGCAACGATCCTCCTGCTTCAGCTTCTGGACTAGCCCCTAGATGTGATCTTTTAAATAATTTTTGTTAGTGTTGGGGTGTGAAACAGGGCCTTTACACTGAGCTGTGTCTCTGAGGTATGTCTTTTATTTTTTTAATTTGAAGATAGGAAGCTTAAGTTACCCAGGCTGGGCTGAAACCTGTGATCTTTTATCTCATTCTTCCAGAGTGCCAACAGTAAGGTCTGTGCCACAATTCCAGTTTGATAGGATTTTTATTTTTTAAATCTTGGAAACAAATCTGGTCTCTTAGTAGTATTTTTCTATAAAAGGGCAAAGCATCTTTGGAAAGGTACAGGTTCTTAGCAAGTTTCTAACTTGTGCCCATGTTACAGCTAGTGGGCCAGGACCGAGGTCCTATAGCCCATCAACCCATCTGCAGATTGGCCCTTTGTCCTGCCTGGTATACCTGGTGATAATGCAGGTGCCAGAAGGAACAGTAAGGGGAGACCAAGCCGGGAGGGAATTTGAGGCTGTAGCAGACCACAGGCTTGCTGGCCTCCTCTTTAATTACCCCCTGCCCTCTGTGCCTCTCCTCCATCTTCTTGGGAATTTGGGACTAGGAGCCCCAGCTGCTGAGGAAGGAGGCCAGTGATTGCCAGGCCAGCAGACCAATGGGCCCCTCAGCATGGAGTAGGGCGGGGCTTGTGCTGCCATGGAGAGGGGAGAAGCTGTTCTGTAGGGAGGAGGGGACAGTGGGAAGAGGACCTGGAGGTTGAGGAGAAGGGAGAGAGCAAACAAAGGGGTCAGGAGGGAAAATAATGCACTGGCTTCCTGAGGCCCTGCAGAGACCAGGGACAGAGACATCTAAGGCCAGCTGCCTGCTCACTCACAGGGGCAGGCAGGTCCTAAATGGCATTGTTTGAAGGTGCTGGCTAATTGCACAGAGCAGCCTGAGCCTCAAACACCAGCACCACCCTCTCTGTCCCGGGTGCTGGCAGCTGAGCCTTCGGGGCCACCTGGCCACATGGAACCAAGTCCAGAGCCTCCGACTTTGGTGAGGGGGCAGGCTATGGGGAGGGGCAGTCTGGGTGGGCTCTTGGGGCAGAATGTCACCCTGACATCAGGTCATAGGCCTCTATGCCTGAGGACATAGAGCCAATGACAGGAAGTTTGGGGGTGTGTTGCATCTTGGCACTCCTAACTCCATGCTATCTACTATTCTGGCTTCTCCCACAGGAAACAATGAAGGGAGACGCCAGACACCTTAACGAAGAGGAGGGTACCAGCGGGGGAGATGACTCTATTGTCATCATCAATGGGGCCTGCAGTGACCAGTCTTCCGACTCCAAGGACACCCCCTCGCCCCCAATCCTGGAGGCCATCCGCACACCGGAGATCAGAGGTGGCTGGGCCAGTGGGGAGTTGGGTGGGACCGGGGCTGACACAGTGGGAGGTTGCTGTAGATCTCCTGCAGGTCCTGCGTTTGGAGGGAGATACACTGCTACCTTCCCCCCCACCTCCAGAAGGCAAAAGATGGCACCTGTGAAGGTGTTTGCAGAGCCAGACCCTGTCACATCTCTGCCCACCTTTCTGTGCTCACCTCTGTTGAGGACTCTGAAGAGAGAGGTAGTGAGAGTCTTGGTCCCCTGTGTCTGCCAGCATCACAGGATGCTGCTGTACAGGCTGGGTCTTTGCCCTTTGACAATATAGTCCTTCCCTTGGTGCTGGCTCTAGGGATACGGTAGAGCCAGGCAGGGTGGTCTGAGGCTTAGTTCCTGTACCTTTCCTTGGCGGCTCCTGATCAAGAACCTGCCACCTTGGCAACCCCATGTAGTGTCTCTTGCAATTACTTTTAAAATGTGTGTAAAGCACCCCATTTTTGCACTGTCCTCTGCAATAACTTGTCATCACATCTGAGGACTCAAAGTAGACCCACAGGCAGGCAATGATTGTTTATTTACTTGTACTTTGTGGTCACAGAATTTTAAAGCATCTTAAGTGATTCCATGGCTCCTTCCTCAGTAACTGCAGGAAAGTTTGTGTCCCTGACCCTGGCCTTGTTCCTCATTGCACAGTGCAAGGTTTAGGGACATTGAGACTTGCTAACCCCAGAGGACAGCCATTTGGAGAGACCCCAGGCCACAGCCTGGGGAGTTCTTGTCACCAACGCTGTTCTCCAGGTACTGCCTGCCTCTTCTGCAAACTCAGACAGTGTTTCATAAGCAGGTCGCAGATCAAGCGCTCGCCTGTCCAAGAGGGAGGTCTCGAGTCTGCTCAGTTACACTCAGGTATGGCTTCCCATTTCAATTCTGATGTTTAGGTACAGTTCTTTAGTGTTCCTCAGGGATGACCTGAGGCTCACAAAAATTGTCATTTAAAACTTTTTAGAAAGTTTTAAAAATTTTACTAAATTAAAAAGTTGTGTTTTAGGGGCTGGAGATTTAGTTCAGGGACACAAGTACCTACCTACCTGTGAGCAATTCAGGCGTGACAGGTTGCCCTGCTGGCTGCAGCCAGCCAGCCAGTCAGCCAGTCTTGCATATTCTTTTTCCTTTCTGTGATGTGTTACCGTGAGGTTTTATCCTGTTTTCAAACTAATCCTGTCTTGCATTTGTGTTCCTGTGGAGAGGTATGTTATAAAATCTTTGTGGGTGATAGAGTGCTTACATAGTATGTGTGAGGTTCTTGTTCCATCCCCAGCACCTTCAGTACCAGCAAAATATCAAAGCAAGGTAGTTAACAATATTTTGAGTTTAGCTCAGTGGCATAAGCATCTGCCTGTCAGGTGTGACGTTGTGAGTTCAGCTCCTGCTACCTTGAGTCTTGCATTAATATTATGATAGGTTTCAATATGCTTATTTTTAACTATAAAAGTATCTTGGTAGTTGACAATCTGGGCCTCTTTATTATTATGGGATTAATATTATGGATTTTTAAAAAATTTTTGTCTTTTTGAGACTGGTCTCACCATGAAGTTTAGGCTGGCCTTGACTTCACTTTGTAGTCCAGGCTGGTCATGAACTTAACAATCCTCCTGCCTCATCATGATGGATTTTAATAAGGTTTTTTTTTTTTTTTTAAACTATTTTGCTTGTGACATAATTTAGAGTGTTGTGGCTGGTGGCTGGATAAGGTGGTTCAAACCTTAACCTCAGCACTTTGGAACACTGAGGCCGGAGGATCACAAATTGGAGCACATCCTGAACAACTTAAAGGCCCTGTATCAAAAAGGGCTGGGAATGGAGTTGAGAGAAAGGCCCCTAATTTCGATTCCCAGTACTGAAGAAAGTTGATGTCTTTTCCCTTTGCGAAGGATCTGACTGGTGATGGAGACGGGGACGGTGAAGGGGAAGATGGAGATGGCCCTGACACCCCAGTGATGCCGAAACTCTTCCGTGAAACCAGTAGGACTTCACTGGAAAGCCCAGCAGTAAGTTCCCACGAGCTGAGCCAGGCATTCAGTCCTGTATAGAAAAACCTGCACCCCGCTAACTGAGAGCACACAAATGATAGCAAGATGTCAGCAAAGGTGCACACATTGTCAGGGATGGAGGTTTCCTCTTGTGTGGTGTGCCACTCCTTTTCTTGCTGTGGCATATGTTGAGGTTTTTCTTGGTTCTATCTTGTAAGTCATGGATTGATGTTGACAGAGCCATTGCTCTACTGTCAGTTTCCGGTGGGAGAGCGCACATTTCTGTGGGTCAGTTCTGTGGCTCACATGTAGAGTCTGAGGACTGGATTGGGAAGACCGTTACTCGTTCGTGAACGTCCAGTCTCTAAGAGACGTGAATACTTGTGACTGTAATCTCGCCTGCCAGGCATGGGGTATGTTACTCCCATTTGAGACGAGAAGATTTGAGTCACCTCCCCAAGCTTACACTTCAACTTCTCCTTGTGTACAGAATTCAAATGCAGGGCTGCAAGAACCAAAATTATGCCTTTTTTTACTTTTTTTTTTTTTTTGTCTTTTTTCTTTTTATCGGTACCGGGGATCAAACTCATGACTGCCTGCTTGCAAGGCAGGTGCTTAGGCCGCTGAGCTAAGTCCCCAGCCCCTTGTTTTTGAGAGAAACATAGGGCTTGGCTTAAGTACTTCTGACTTTAGTAAACCAATTGGCCTAACTAATCCTATTTTGGAAGAAAAGGTTTTGTACAAGTGTATATTTCTTTTTCAATCTCAGTTTGTAGATACATACTTTTCTGAGCAGAGCAAGATCTGTTGGTAACTGTCATGGTGACCTAACCTCACCTCCCTTATCCCACTTAGCAGGACAATTTTGAGCTAGAAGTCAGTCTAGAAGTTTCTGATTAATTACCATGTCAGTTCCAGTAGGTCTGAGGTCACTAAGGACCCTTGAGCACCTCGAGCCAAATGCTCAGCCTCCTGCTGCAGTCCCCATTCATTCCTCCAGGTGCCTCAGCCCCAGTGCTTATCCTATCTTGCTTTCAGGTTCGAACTCGAAATAACAGCAGTGCTTCCAACCGGGAGAGGTACAGGCCCTCCCCACGGTCCACCCGAGCCCGGCAGGGCCGCAGTCACGTGGAAGAGACCCCCGTGGAGTTCCCGGCTACCAGGGTTGGTCCCCCTACCCTGGTCTTACCTTCTGGCCTGTTTTTCAGCATCTTGCTGTTTGTTTTCTCTCCTGGGTGTGGGTAAGCTTCTCCTAGGCCAACGGCTTCTCTCCTGTCCTGGTCCTGGATGGAACTATGCAACCCAGAATGTCCTGTTCGCTGAGCTCTTGCCTCAACTTGGAATTGAGCTGAAAGCCACTGGTTTCCAGTGCTGTTTTCTCTCCCTAACACCTTCAGCTGTCTGCGCAGCCCCAGTGGGTCCAGCAGATTCTGCTTTTCGCCAGGTTGAGTGTGCTGTGGGTGCTTCCACCGGTGACGCTCTCTGAGCTCAGTCCCTGTAGCCTGTGGTCATTGTTTCATCTCAATTTGTGTCCATCTCTGCACAATTACACTGACTTTCTTCTACCACTCAGGGAGACTTGCTTCTGGAAAACTGTCCTCGGTGGTTTCTGCCTCCTTCATTTGTTTCGTTACCCTTTCTGTGTGGGGAAGCATTGTCTCTGTCACCCACTTGCTTTGCTATATCAGGGCTCTAACCGTGTCCTTCTGCCCACAGTCGCTGAGGCGGCGGGCATCTGCAGGCACGCCATGGTCATCCCCTGCCAGTCCTTACCTCACCATTGACCTCACAGATGACGATGTAACCCCGCAGAACAGCAGTACCCCTTATACCAGCCTCGCCCAGGAAAGCCAGCAGGACAGCCTGGAGTCCTCACAAGTGGATGCCGAGGGCAGAGACACCGATGACCTGGAGTATCAGGTACATGAAAGCATGTGTCTGAATACTCTGAATATAGGCAAAGAAAAACAGTTGCTGCCTACTTACTGTTGGTAACTTACAGTGATAAACTGCTGCTACAATTTCAATCACTTCTGTTTCTTTGGGATTTTTTTTTTTCTTTGAGACCAGGGTCTTGCTATGTGTGCCAGGCTGGCCTTGAACTCAAAGGAATCCTGCCTCAACTTCCCAAATGCTGAAATTACAGGTGTCACCACAACACCCAGCTTATTTGATTTTTGAGGCAGTGATCTCACTATGTAGTACATGCTAGCTAGCCTTGAACTTGTGATCCTCCTTCCTCAGCCACCATTGTGCTAAACTTATGGGTATGAACCACTATGCCAGGCAATTTTTCTAACTTTTATCATAGTATTTGAATATTTATAATTTCCTTCTAGAGATAACATGACCTTTACTTTATACTAGATCTTCATCCTAAGTCAAGTATCATGGTTACCACGTGAATACTGATTTTCTATACATTTGTTACAGATGGGAATATTTGTGTATAAAACATGTAATGTGATTTTTTTCATGCATATGATTATACACTGGCTTTTTACTTAAAGCTAATAGCTGCCTCACATGTCTGTAATACATAGTTGCAGCATTACCCAGTGGCATTGTTTCCTTAAGCTCTTGACACCTGCATGTATGGATGTGATTAGATTGCTTTTTCGTTTTGGTTTTGAGAAAGGGTCTTATTACGTAGCTCCGGGTGAACTCAGAAGTCCTGGTGATCCTCTTGCCTTTGGCTTGAGAGTGGTGGATTTATAGGCATTCATCACCTCCTCCAGCTGCCTTTTTCCTATGTTTAGTGCATCGAAGTAAAGTTCATATTCTTTATTTATGGTACCAAGGATTGGGCCCCAGACCTTTTGCACTGAGCTACATCCCCAGTATTTTATTTTTTAAGAGACAGTGTTTCTTTACTGGCCAGGCCAGTCTCAAATTTGTGGTTTTTTTTTTTTTTTTTTGCTCAGGCTCCCAGAGTGCTGAGACTGCCGGCATGGCTGCCACCCCTGATTAGATAATACTCTGGTAACCTGACATCTCATTTTTTTCCACCTTGGTACTGAGATGGATTCAGACATGCTCATACTAAGGATGCATTCTTTCAGTGAGCTCCACTTCCCCTAAGCTGGCACTCATGCTTTAAGACAAGCTAATAATTGCCATCAGTGTTAGTAAACAGAATTTGACTATGATGATCTTTCTTTTTCACTGTGATTCCTTCATGTGGTTTTTTTCCAGGATGGGAAAGAATTTGGCATAGGGGACCTTGTGTGGGGAAAGATCAAGGGCTTCTCTTGGTGGCCTGCCATGGTGGTGTCATGGAAGGCTACCTCCAAACGCCAGGCCATGGCTGGCATGCGATGGGTGCAGTGGTTTGGCGATGGCAAGTTCTCTGAGGTGAGTTCAGGGTGCGGCAGGGCCTGTGACCCTCAGGCCTGAAGTCTGACCTCCCTTCCTTTCGTGGTCACATTGACAGCTTTGATCCTCTGTTATGAAGGACAAAACTCTTACTGTGATGGGAGCTGGAACAGAGAATTGGGTTCTGTGGGCAGTAGGAGCTCTCAGCGGACTTGCACATCGAATGCATGTGTTTCTCTGGGATGAAATGACCAATATATCTAAGTATAAACAAGGAATATTGAAAAGGGATGCAGACCCAATTTGAAGTTCAACTTTCCCTGTGAAGTATGTGATGTGCCTTGTAGAACATTGCATGCAGATTCCTTTGCTGACCAGCAGAGGGAGCAGCAGGACAGGTGTCCTGTTACTATACTGGCCTGGAAGGAACAGAAGGCTGAGAGAGTGGGCAGTTAGCTCCTGTGAAACTAAGGAAGATGGACTATTTGTAACTGCTTGAGCTCAGTGAGGCTTGAAATGTGCCTAACAAGGCAAGGTCTAATGCTAAGAAGATGCAGGTCAGGACTGGTAGAGTTTTGGAATGAGATTATGATACAGGTCTGGCTTTTGGATGTATAAGGCCTAGAAATACACTGATCCTGCTCAGGACAGGCCTGGGTGTGGCTTGTTTTAAGCAACTGGCAGTTTTTAAGTAATTTTGGCCCAGGTCAGGGTGGACAGGTCATAGACATAATCGTAACTACAGGTGCATCTAGAGTGAAGTCCAGGGCTCTCAGCTCAGTAACAGCCGATGTTAATGTGGATGAGACATGGATGTACCTGTCCCCAGTCATGGTGTCCCAGTTTGAACTGTGAAGGATGTGGATGTCAAGCTTTTGGCCATAGGAGCTCTTAGGACTTGTACCATCTGGCTTTTCTGCTTTTTCATTTCTCTCCTTTGGAGCTGACATCTGTGAGCCTTCTAGCCATGAATAGTTTCTAGGCTAGTCATGGTGAAACTTTAGAACCTTTCAATAGGTTCACCATCAGGCCTGTAGGCTAAGGTGTGTGCTGTCTCTCTTCTGAAAAGTGGCCCTGTGGAACATAGGTAGATCTTCAGCACAGATGTGGATGATACTGATGATGTCTTTCTCTTTTAGGTCTCTGCAGACAAACTGGTGGCTCTGGGGCTATTCAGCCAGCACTTTAACCTGGCGACCTATAACAAACTGGTTTCTTACAGGAAGGCCATGTACCATGCCCTAGAGGTAACGTGGGAGTGGGCAGAGCCCCGGCCCTGAGCAGAGACAAGAGTGCACCTGAAAGGTGGCTCAAACTCCTTACACTGCCAAATGGCTTGGAGGGCACAGGGCTACTAGGATGGAGGCTCCTGGCCCTGTAAGGGAGGGATTTGAGGCTTTGCCCTGACCTCCAGTGACAGCTGGGGGAGAAGGAAAGAACATTTGTATCAGTGAGTGGGCATGGAGAGCCCTCCGCTTTCTTCAAGTGGTGTGGAGTGCACGGCCAAACTTGGTTAGCAGCTGAGGCCAGCTGCTTCTCTCTCTCTGGGCCATGATGTCTCCTGTGAACCATCTGGCTTTGTCCTATATTCTAGCTGCACTTGAACTGCTTTTGTCGCCTTTTGAGGCAGTCTCTTCACTAGTTGCCATGTGCTTATACTACACATAAATCCACACAGTCCAGTCCATTTACTAAAGGGTACTTGACTGGATCCCTAGTTTCTTTAGGACAACACAGAGAAAACAAAACAGGTCGAGGCTGCTCCTGTACCTTAAAGCAGAGGAGCTGAGTAAGAGTCCCCTATTTGCACAGGTTCCAGTCACTCTTTGTCTACAGTAAAGTGACCCTGCTTGGTTTCTGTGGACACTTAACCTCCTGTGCAACCATGACGTCTTGCCTGTGTCCTGCACAAACTATTGCTTGCCCACTACACAGCACAGTCCAGGACAGCTTTGTAGCCAAGAAAGGGCCCATTGTGAGGAAGGGAATGTAGACCTCAGCAGCGGGTTCCCTGGGTGGGGCCTGGCTTTGCCCCATTCACTACAGACTCTGCCCTTATATCTCTACAGAAAGCCACGGTGCGAGCTGGCAAGAACTTCCCCAGTAGTCCTGGAGACTCACTGGAGGACCAGCTGAGGCCCATGTTGGAGTGGGCCCACGGGGGCTTCAAGCCGACTGGCGTCGAGGGCCTCAAACCCAACAACAAGCAACCAGGTGGGAATAAGTGAATGGCAGCACCCACTGCCTCTTGTGGGAATAGTCCTCAAACGCATGCCACCCCTACCTGCTCGACTAAGCTGTTGTGCCTTGTGGAGCAAGCATGATGAAAAAGTTTCTGTATCTGACAGCAGACCAGCCCTAGCCTTTCCTGGCTTCCCCATAGCCCCAAGTTCTTTGTTTTTTAAAGTCGGTGGATAGAATTTGTGTTTGAGGGCTGGGGATTTAGCTCGCTGCATGAGCGCCTGCCTTGCAAGCACGGGGTTGTGAGTTTGATCCCTGGTACCGGTAAAGAATTTGTGTTTGAAACATACCATCTCCTAACATTGTCACAAGTGCCTTATCTCCCCTGTTACATGTATTACATGTATATTTCCCACAATGCAGATCTTTACAGTCCATATATTTAATGTGATGTTTTCTGTTTTGTTTTGTTTCTCTCAAAAAAGTGGTTAATAAGTCGAAGGTGCGTCATGCAGGCAGTAGGAAATTAGGATCAAGAAAACACGGTATTCGCTTCCCAAATTTTGACTATGTTCTACTTCTTTTGCTCTATCTTTTTTTGATTCCTCAAGAGCGTGCAGTGGTCACTGGGAAAATCAAATTTCTTAGAGTTGACTTAAACTCCTTGCCCCTTACCTCACTCCCTACCCTCACTGATGCCTCCAAGTTAACACTGTTGTGTGCACAACCTTCCTACCTTTTCTGGACACCACTGGGGTTCCTGCCTCCTGTCTTCTCAACATTAATACCATAAGCACTACTCAATGTCATTTTGTTATTAAAGTTTCCTTGTTATTTTTAATGATTGTATGATATTGTTTCCTAGGTGAAGATTGAATTTAACCATGCCCATTAGGATTTCACAGGTGGAATCAAATATAAATTTAGGTGGAGTTGTAGAATCCCATTTGTAGAATAGGAGCCAAAGTAAATGATTTCCTATTAATGTCTTTGAAAAGAAAGGAATGGATAAAATTGATAATATTCACATTTGTTTAATTTAACAGTTCCAAAGTAATAGCATTTCAACATTCAATCAGTCTGAAAATGAGATTTCACCTGCCCATCTAGTTCTCTCTTCCAAATAATGTATTTTAAACATCTTCTGATACTAAATTTACATTGTTAATAAATGCAACGGCATTAAGTATACAATAACAATATTGAGTATATTAAATTTATAAATACAGTATTTACAAAAGTAGATTGAAGGCAAGTGTGGCTTTGTATGCCTATTATCCCATCATTCATGCTGCTAACGCACAAGGATCAACAGTTGCAAACCTGGATTAAAGTCCAAAATCCCGTTTAAAACCCCACCTTAATTTTAAAAACTGTCAGTCCAAGTGAGCCAGTTGGTCACTTGTTGACTTTCAGTGAACATTAATGGTCTATGTAAAATCCAGTTCCTTGGCCAGCAGCTATTTCAAATGCTCCATAGAGGTGTGTGTCACACCATGAGGGGCATCTTAGACATAGCTATGTCTGCTTTAGCTGTAGATCCATGTCTTCTGCTCTTTAAGGTGGTTCAAAAGGATGCAATCTTTCTCATGTAGAGGTTGAAAACCACTTACACCTGTATCCTTCAGGTTCCCAGGTAGGAGGGGATCCCATCCTGTGCTGCGTGCCCTTTGCGGCCCTGTCCACCGAGTGTGGGTGCTTTCTCATGCCCCAAGGGGCACCTGACTCCCAGAAGCAGCACAGTTTTGTCTTGGTCCTGCCTTCTCTCTGGTCCTCAGCTGAACCTCTGCTTGCCTTTCATAGAGAACAAGGGTCGAAGACGCACAGCGGAGGACTCTGCCACTTCTGACTACTGCCCCCCAGCCAAACGCCTCAAGACCAATTGCTATAACAATGGCAAAGACCGGGGAGAGGAAGATCAGAGCCGAGGTGACTATTGGGGAGGAAGAGTCTGTAGAGGCTGACTGAGCACACAGCTACAGGGGGATGCCCTCATCTCATGTCTTCTCTACCTTTCTCAACAGAACAAATGGCTTCTGATGTCCTCAACAGCAAAAGCAATCTGGAAGGTAAGTCCTCTTTCTCCTTTCAGCCCGACCTTCACATCTGTTCGCACCCCTGGCTGTCTTTCCCTGCTGGGTTTAATCTGTAACTCTGGGCCTGGTGGAGGCCCTGCCTGTTTCTGCGCCCTGTATCTTCATTGCTCCTTTGTGTCACCTGAGGGAAGTGGTTATTTTTAATGGAGACTGATTTGGCCTATGAGGTAAATAAATAGAAAAGTTCAGGTAGGATAACAATGGAAGTTCAGTCACTTCAGCCAGAGAGACCCAGAGGTAAGCCTGGAATCAGTCGTATCCTGATGATGCATCCTAAACAAAACTGAAACTAGTGAATCAGTGAAAAGCAGAAGTGCTTTGTCATTGTCACACTGGTAAGCTAATCCTGCTGACATCAGCTGGGAACTTCCCCAGACCAAAACCTGCCCAGAATAAGCCTAATGGAATGGAATGGAAGAGGAATAGTTTCTTATGTACCAGTAACTTAATGAAGAAATTATCCTTTTTTTTTTTTTGGAACACTGCCTCAACTATGCAGTTCAGGCTGGGATTGAGCTCACTTTGAAGCCCAGGCTTTTCTCAATGATCCCCCTGCCTCAGCCTCCCGAGTGCTGGCATTACATGCATGAGCCACCACCCCCAGCACAAAGAAGTATTTCTTGAGTGGCTGCTCAGTATGAGATAAGAAAATACAGACCTGAGCCAGAGACTTGAGAGCTTGAATTTGGAATAGTCTTAACAGTAATTGACTTTCGACCCATGATCCTTCATGTACTTAGATGGATTTTTTTTCCTGTGTTACTCCTTGACCATCCTAGCTGAGCAGAATAGCCTAATTATAAGGATCTAGGCTTGATAATGTAGCCTTGTGCTGGTGGATAGCCATGGGCAAGTCCTGTCATTAGTGACCCAGCGTGCCTGTAAATGCTTCAGATGTCCTGGGTCTTTAAAGAACTTGTAAGACCTTGAAATTGATTCCTGCTCAGTGTCCTGGTTCAGAACTTTCTCCCCAAGAAACCCTTTTGCTTATATTGTGTCACCTTCTATTTGTCCATGTGAACTTGACTGCCAGTCTCGGAAGAGGTGTGTGGAACTCTGTAACACTTGAAAGGAATAGAACATAAGTGTGGAGCACAGCATAAAGCTTCAAGAGTCCTTGGCACATTCCTGGAGTTGATGGTCCAAGAAATGTCCCAAGCCTTTAACAGCCGGCACTAGGTCTATAATTGCTGTAATATCTGACTCTGTCTTTGTTACAGACAGCTGCTTGTCCTGTGGTAGAAAAAACCCTGTGTCGTTCCACCCACTCTTTGAGGGCGGGCTCTGCCAGACATGCCGGGTAAGTCCTCCTGAACTTGCCCTGGATGTGGAGCCCCCTTTCTTCCTCTGCAGCCTCCGTTTTACTCTCCTTCAAAATAGCATTTGCCCTTGTCATTAGTGAAGCCTCTGCCAAGAGACAGCAGCCAGTTTTTCCTGCAAAGTGCACCAGGCTGTGGTTAACTAACAGTTCCATGGCTGTGTCCTAGGGCCACAGCCGGTAGACAAGCTTGCCCTGGCTAGCTCTGTCATCTGATTTCACAGGCATTTGTTTCTCTTGTCTGCCAGGATCGCTTTCTGGAGCTGTTCTACATGTACGACGATGATGGCTATCAGTCCTACTGCACGGTGTGCTGTGAGGGCCGAGAGCTGCTTCTCTGCAGCAACACTAGCTGTTGCCGGTGAGAACTGTTGCATCCTGGGATTTCTGCAGCATGGGGGCAATTGTGATTGTTTAATGCAGACACAGGAACAGCACTGGGAATATTTTGAACTCAAGACTGGGTACTATTAGGGTCCCCAGTGTCCTTGTGTCCAGATCTTGAATATATGGATAACGATGGTTCAAGAGTGTGTGAAGGATCAAATGAGGTGTCCAGAGAGGATCCTCCTTGGGGAGCATCTGACTAGTAGGCAGGCAACATTTCATTGCCAATACCCTGTGGCTTTAGAGGAAGCAGGATGCTAAGGAAAAGACCTCATGCTCATTGGAGAGACCTTGTGTTGTCATTTCTGTGGGGAGGTGGAATAGCTGCCTTGTGACAGAAGTATCCCTTTTCTTTGGTCTCTTCCTATGCAGGTGCTTCTGTGTGGAGTGTTTAGAGGTGCTGGTAGGCACAGGTACAGCAGCAGAAGCCAAGCTGCAGGAGCCGTGGAGCTGCTACATGTGTCTCCCTCAGCGCTGCCATGGGGTCTTGCGGCGCAGGAAGGATTGGAACGTGTGCCTGCAATCCTTCTTCACCAACGATTCAGACCTTGATTATGTAAGCTATGGGAGGGGTCCATCCCCACAGGTCCCAGGGCAACCACTCTGAAACCTCTGGAATGCGCAATTAGCATTAATGCAAATGAAGATGTATTCAAAGCAGCCTCTGCCTGCCAGAGCCTGAGGGCCCCTGCTTCTAACTCATGCCTTTTGTGTACAGTTCTGTCTCCTCAGTGAGTGGATTTCACAGGACTGCTTAAGAGAAACTTGTAGAAGTAAGCCTTGGTTAATTTGGGCGAAGAGGGTCCTTATTTATTACTCAGTTTGGATTTTTTTTTTTTTTTTTTTTGCTGCTCACAGTTTTGTAGCAGTGAATTTACCATCCTTAGACCCCTTGGGTCATTCTTGGTAAGGATGAAGTGCAGGTGTGCGCATGGGTGTTCTGGCTCTCTGTACCTTGTTTGTCCCACTTGTCTTCAGAGACCTGAGCCTCCTGTGCCAGCCTCCTGAATAGCTGGAATGAGAAGTATGCTCTGCTGCACCTGCTGACCTTGTCTTTGCTGTCGGCTCTTGTGCCAGTGCAGCTGTGTCTCAGGTGTCAGGATAGAATGGCCTTTCTGTGCCAAGTGCAGGCTGGTGTGTTGTATGTTGTAACAATTATTACTACGTTTCTGTGCCAGTCACATTAGGGTTTAAATCTCGCCAAGGAGGACAGACTTGGATGTTGAGACTGCTCCTTTATCTCCTTTATCCTGCTTCTTTCGGCAGGAGGCCCCGAAGTTGTACCCAGCAATTCCTGCCTCCCGAAGGCGGCCCATTCGAGTCCTGTCACTGTTTGATGGAATTGCGACAGGTGAGTGGTTCACCTGAGGGCTCCACCGCCAGGTAGTGTGCGTGTTACTCTTGTGTACTTGTGTTCCTCCTCCCCACCTTCCCCCTCACATATTTTGTTTTCTGTATGTTTTTTTTTTTTAAAGTGGAATAACAGACGTGCATCCCTACACTTGGCTCTTTGTTGTCTTTAAAGGATACATGTCTCAAGCCTTCCATTTTGTTTATTTTATTCAAGTATCTGTAAAATGAGTTTTCATTCCGTGTATGTCCAGTTAGCAACAACTTTACCACCATTTGCTGTCTTTGTCCCTGTTCCTTTGCCAAGGTTTCCCCAAACAGGGAGTAGGCACAGGCAATTGGCATGGCACCTTTGGAGCTCTCTACCTTGACAACCACCTTTATTTCTACTTTTTAAGAAAAGTTTTAAAGGATTTAGTAAAGCAACAGTAAAATGAAACAAAAAAACGGTGATGGGACAATCGGAAATCTACCATTAGCATCATTATGATATTGCATATTGTTATCCTCTAAATAGTTCCACAGACTACTGATCCCAGGCCTGCAAAGTCAAACAACATAAATAACAGATTGCTTTTCTACTTCAAATCTCATCTCATGTCACATTGTCTAGTTGCTAATGGGTGTCCCAGCACAGGACGGGGAGGCAGCTTCCTTGATGATTCTCCCTGCCACTTCTCCACGGGTGGCAAGGCTCTGTGGCAAGGCTCTGTGGCAAGGCTCTGTGGCAAGGCTCTGTGGCAGGGCTCTGTGGCAGGGCTCTGTGGCAGGGCTCTGTGGCAGGGCTCTGTGGCAGGGCTCTGTGGCAGGGCTGTGCTGGCCCGCAGAAGGGGAGGGCACGGCTTCCTTGCTGTTCTGCCTGTTTGGCAGGGCCTCTGCCCCTGCTATTGTTTGTTTTGTTGGATTCCTGAATTCTGTCTCCATGTGATTGAAGTCTCAGTTCAGATCCTTCCTGTGTCCATGGGACTCACTCTTTCCTTCTCTTCAAGTTGCCATATTCCAGGGTCTAGACACCAAAACTGCTTCCCACTCTGCCATTTTCCTGGGAAGACTCACTTCCACTCTTATGTCTGCCTGGCCCTTCTAGGGTACTTAGTGCTCAAAGAATTGGGTATTAAAGTGGAGAAGTATGTTGCCTCAGAAATATGTGAAGAGTCCATCGCCGTTGGAACAGTGAAGCACGAGGGGAATATCAAATATGTGAATGACGTCAGGAACATCACAAAGAAAAACGTAAGGGCTGATCTCTTTCCTGTCTTTTGTTGTTTTGTTAGGAAACAGGACTTTGCTATATAGTTCATTTTGATCTTGAACTCCCTTCATGTAGCCCAGTCTGCTCTAAACTAAAACAATCCCCCTCCTCAGCCTGCCAAGTCCTTGGAGTACTCTCAGCTACTCTCTCTATCTCGATCACTGCCTCCTCCACACCCTGAACTCCCTGCCTGTATGTACCACATGTCTAATTCCTCTGTTGTCAGTGCAGGGCGGTGGGTAGAAGAGAACTTGATATTTCAATTTGTACTGGTAAGAAATACTTAGAAATAGTTAATTTGGCTGGCGATTTAGCTCAGCAACATAAGTGCCTGCCTGGCAAGTGCACGGTCATGAGTTTGATCCCCGATACTAAGAAAACAAAATAAAACCAACAATAACAACAACAACAACAAAAAAAAAACGGGCTGGGGATTGAGCTCAGCAGCATAAGCATCTGCCTTGTAAGCAGGCGGTTGTTAGTTCGATCCTTGGTACTGATTAAAAGCAAAACAAAAAAGTAGTTTATTTAGTGTTCGAGATCTTGAGACCTCCAGATCACTAAGCATAGCATTACATGTTTTTGTTGTTGTTATTTCACTTTTTTTAGTGGTACTGGGGATAGAACCCCGGACCAGTGCTCTGCCATCGTCTTACCAACCCAGCAATGAGCTTGCTTATGAAAAGAGGTGGGGCTGATAACTTCAGAATCCTGGCTTTCTGTTCTTCATCTCATTTCTGCTCTGACCCTGTTTTTCCCCTTCAGATTGAAGAGTGGGGCCCATTTGATTTGGTGATTGGTGGTAGCCCATGCAATGACCTGTCTAATGTGAACCCAGCCAGGAAAGGTCTGTACGGTGAGTAACTCCTTCCTGGAAACTCTGAGAACCCCCGAGATGCGTGATCTGAGTAGAGCTTCGTGGGAAGGACATCTTTCCAACTGTCTATCTTTCCTGGCAACCTTGTGGTCCTCAAGCAATATCCTTGCACCTCTGTAAACCCCTGGCTCCATGAAGGTCACCAATAAATAGTGCAGTCTTGCTGCCTGTGTTCTTGCTGACTTGTCATTCCTGAGTGCCCCAAGGAGATCTGGAACCTATGGGCTTCGGGAACGGGAATGAAGCCCTGCTCTTTGTTCTTTTTGCTTGAGCAGAGGGCACCGGCCGACTCTTTTTTGAGTTCTACCACCTGCTGAATTACTCACGCCCCAAGGAGGGGGATGACCGTCCATTCTTCTGGATGTTTGAGAATGTTGTTGCCATGAAGGTTGGTGACAAGAGGGACATCTCACGATTCCTTGAGGTGAGGGAACAAACCCAGTGCGAATTATCAATTATCAACTTGCTAAGGTCTTGTTTTTCAACAGGGTTTGGGTTGCATTTTGGAATGCCAGATTCTGTGACTTATTTTTAGAGCATTGGAAAGTTATTGCTGACGTTATTCAGTTCAGTCTAGAGTTTCTATTCCTTATTCTGAATGACTGCTTCACAGTTGCTTAATATTTATCAAGCTCTAAAACACTTTGTTTACTGAAGTCATTTGAGTTTTAAAGAAATGTGACAGCTTAGATCTGACATAATAAAACTAGTGCTTTTACCTGAGTACTGTCTTCTGTCATTAGAGAATCTGATGAAAACTTTGAGGGAGATAAGTCCGTTCTTTTAGAGTTTAATGGTGTGATACCGAGTTTTTTCCCCCCCTCATTGGGTGGATCCATGCATTTTCTTTCTTTTTTTTTTTCTTTTTTTTGTCTTTTTCCTTTTTATCGGGACCGGGGATTGAACTCACGACTGCCTGCTTGCAAGGCAGGTGCTTATGCCGCTGAGCTAAATCCCCAGCCCCAAGCCATGCATTTTCTATAACCAGGGATCAGCCTATCACTCTTGCACAGATTGAACTGTTTCTCTGAATTTTGAAGGTCCCTAGCAGCTCTGTTTCTGTTTACTTGCAGTGTAATCCAGTGATGATCGATGCCATCAAGGTCTCTGCTGCTCACAGGGCCCGATACTTCTGGGGAAATTTACCTGGGATGAACAGGTAACGGAACTGAGTGGGATATCTCACACTCACATTTACCGATGGTACCACCTTTACTCCAGTTTTCTAGAAACTGATGGCTGTGCTGACCAACATTCCCACCCTGTGCTTCAGCCCCACCTGTGGTGTTATAATCTCCATTACAATGTGGAGAAATACCTGGAAATCTATTGATCTTTTAGGCTTCCTAATGACTTGTTTTAGCTGCAGATAGTTGCTACTGATTCTGAAAATTCTATGTGTTCTTTGACCACATGAATGTGAGGATGTGGATTGTTGCCTCTACAATCAATTTTGTTCCCCTTGTGGTTTGGCAATGTCTAAGAACATGAAATACTTTGTTAAAGGTTAATCCTTTGTGTCCCAGATATGAAGCTCACCAGGCTGGTGATAATGAACCAGGTGGTAGGATTGAGATGGTATGTTAGCCCAAAGACTGTCTTGAAAATAATTCTCTGTCTTTTTGTCATATACCAGGGGTACTTTGTTTGGTGCTCTTTAGTTTCATATTGGGTCCCCATGATCATTTCTGGCATGTAGCAAAATATGGGCAAACTAAGAGGATATTGAGGTAGCTGGGAGCAATTTTGTTGGGCATTACTGCTTTTGTTTATTTTTGTCTTTTGGAGTCTCACTAGGAAAGATGTCTGGCTTGCACTCAATTTTTGGCCTAGGCTGGCCTCGAACTTGTAGTGATCCTCCTGCCTCACGCTGCTAAGTCCTGAAATTACAGGTGTGCACCGTCATTGCCATTCTCTTGTTGACCAGCTAATCAAATGGTATCCATGCACATGTTCAGATTGAAATGAACATTTTTCACAACTAGCATTTTAACTCTACCCAGGCACTGCTCTACTGCTGCCACTTCAGTGATATAAATACTAAGGTCAGTGGATCTTTTGGCTATGACCTGCTAATGGCAGAAAGGAAGAAAGACAATAATTTTTTTTTGTCTTTCTCATTTTTATTGGTACCGGGGATTGAACTCACGACCGCCTGCTTATGCCGCTGAGCTAAATCCCCATCCCCAGAAAGACAATAATTGATTGCACTTGCATGGATGGGGAGTGGGCATTGGAAAGGTTCATGGTGAGGTTGTTCCATTTCAGAGCTCTAAATGAAGAAATACAGCCAGTCAATTATCAGAGTATTCTAGACACAAGAAAAGGGACTAGAATGTCTTGTCTGGGGGGTGATATTTCTAGGCCAGCTGGAGAACAGTCTTTATCAAGCAAAACGTAGTGGGAAAGGAGTGCAGAAAACAAACATGGCAGCACTTGAATTTATATAGACATGGGGAGTATAGGAGCTTTAAACAGCTGAGATGAATTGCACTTTAGGTTTGTGTTAGTTTCTGGGTAAAGAAGAATTTATCACAATTGCTTAGGTGGTTATGCTCCCTAAAGGAGGAGGACTGATGTGCCTCCGAAGTCCTCATCCATTGAGGGGAGGACACAAGTGTGAGTGGTGGGACTGGAGTTTGTAGCAAGACAGTCCCATGGAGTTCCTATGAAATATAACTTGTATTTCTCATTTAATGGATGTTGTAGCAAAAAAAAATGCACTGTGGCAGTAGAACCTTTTCGAATTATGGAATAGGCACATTGAGTTGAAACCAGATAATCTGGCTTTATGTTTGATTTGTGCTGGGATTTGATCCAGGTTCTTGGGAGAACAACTCCCTAATCACATTTTTATTTATTTATGTATTTATTTTTAAATTTAACTTTGCTTATTTTTTGTACCAGGAATTCTCAGGACCTTGAGCTTTTCTGACATGTGTTATGCCACTGAGCTATATTCCCGGCCATTATGTTTTATTTTGACCCGCTGGCTTGCTAAGTACTAGCTGATCAGCAAGCTAGGTTTAGACTTGAATTCCTTCTGCTGCAGGCTCCTAGAGCCCTGGCTCTACAGGTGTGTACCACCACACCTGGCTACTTTTTTTTAATTCCCCCAAACTGCACAAGGCTGGCCTGAGCTATGTCCTTTTTTCCCTGATCTCTAAATTTTAGTTCCTGCAGGAGAGTTTGGCTATTGGAAACCTGGGCAAGGGAAGGGAAGGAAGTCTCTGGAGTCTAGTGAGAGGATTGATTTCTTAACTCCTTGTGGGAATCCTTGCCATGTTTGAGGTGAAGTCCTTTTGAACTTCCAAAGTGGTTACTGTGGTGCTTATCAACACCATGCAGACTTGGCTCTAACTGCTCAACACCTTTTGGTTCTAGCCCTTGTCCTTTTTACCTATCTTCTCCTCTCTGCATTTGCAAAACAGGTTTCTAAAGTGGAAGTTGTAAAAGAAAAAAAAAACAAAAACAAACAAAAAAACAATTGTCTACTTTGAAACAGTGTATTGCTGTGCATTTCAGGCTGATATTGAAATCACCATGTAGTTGAAGCCAGCCTTGAACTAATGGTGATCTTCCTGCCACAACCTTAAGTGCTGGGTTGAGAGGCATGCACCACCATGCCTGGATTAAAATTTAAAACAATTTTTGCACTCACAATTGTGTGATTCCAAGGCAGACGCTTATTTAGCTGAGCTAAATTCCAAGCTCCCTTAAAACGATTTTTGCAACAGGATATTGTTATGCATCCCTGACTGACCTCAAACTCATTCCAGTTCTCTTGTTTCAGAATCTTGAGTGCTGGGATTACTGTCATGTACTACAATGCCTGGTTAGAAAGAAAGTTAAAAGTGTAATTAGTATTTCTGTGAATCATTTTATTGCCTTCCCCTGGAGGTTAACACCCATTGACAGTCCTCCTGAGCCTGCTTCCCTAGCACTGAGCCATCAAATCACAGGGAGTAGGACATGTTAGCAGTATCAAGTAGACCCCAAAGGTATACTTAATTGTTCTCAAAATAAATAGACAAGGTGCTGAGAATGGCTCTGGTGAAGCACTGGCCTCCATGTGCAAAGCCCTGACTTCCATAAGCAGGAACCCTACCCTACCCCCTTAGACCTCAAGCCCAAGGAGTAGGCATGACTTGCTCAAGGCCATCAGCCAGTGGAGCACTGTGGAGCTGGCCCAGAGAGTTCTCCTCACTTGGCACTCTAGTGTACTCCTCCAGTGTCCTCTTCTTTACTTCCTCACTTGGAGCCTGTGTTTGAATAACAGTAAAGCTCAGCAAGAAGCCCCAGGTATGGTCGTGCATACCTATAATAATCCTATCACGTGGGAGGCTGAGGCATGAGATAACTACACTTTTGAGGTCAGCCTGAACTGCATAGTGACAGAAAAGAACAGTATTGGATATAGCTTAGTGGCATAAGTACCTGCCTGGCAAGTACAAGGTCATGAGTTCATATCCCCAGTATCAAAAAAAGTTCAGGAGGAGCAGCAATAGCTCTCAACATTGAGGGTGACTCTGCATGGCATTCAGACTTGTGCATATGACAGAACTGCTCTGTCAGTCCTCACGGTTGGGGTGTTTCCATAATGGCTGGGAGAATGTATTCGTTAGGCTGTCCTTTGCCAGGACATACTTTAACAGCAGAGGTCATTACCCCCAACTTGGCCTGTGAAGTGCCTACCTGAGGCCCCTCTACAGAGTAATGGGTTTTGGCTGTTCCCAGGCCTGTGATAGCATCAAAGAATGATAAACTCGAGCTGCAGGACTGCTTGGAATACAGTAGGACAGCAAAGGTAAGATGTGCTTGCAAATGGCCTCTATTGCCATTCTCTGGGGAATTCACTTGGTGACCTTGGTGTGGTGTCCAATTGATCTACTCCTCCACATGTGACTCCTGGTGCTGGCCCTCTTTCTGCACATAATTGTTCCTTTTTCATATTCAGAGAGTAGGAGGCATTCTTGATAAACACATAATCACTGTGAGAAAAGACAACTGGACTTTCTAATTGTTAACACTGGATACACAATTCAGCTGACCTTTCCAGTTATAAAAGAATAATTGTTGCTTTGGTATAAAAAATACAAGGTAAAAGAAAAATGTCAGTCGCTGTTAATACACTAGGACATAATAATTTCTGCATCAAACGAAGATCCATTTGTCCAAATTGTAGTTGACAATACTGTGTCTGGGTAGTTTTTCTGCTTTATTTACTCTTTGATTAGTAACTTTGGTGTCATCTTGTCCTACATGTGATCTTACTCATGATCACTTCTTCATTTTATTCTCCCTGAGGCTGGTCTTTTCTGATCACAAAATTCTTGGCATTTGTGGGAAGCACGGAATATTCTTATCCTTTCAAATCTGTTTTTATCCTTCTCCAAGCCCAACCCTAGCACTTCTGTCCTCCACCTGCTCTGGGCACTTCTGTGTCTTGACCTCACCTGGAATCATTCCTTCTGCGCTCACTCCATATCGTTTTATTCTCCAGTTAAAGAAAGTACAGACAATAACCACCAAGTCGAACTCGATCAGACAGGGGAAAAACCAACTTTTCCCTGTTGTCATGAATGGCAAAGAAGATGTTTTGTGGTGCACTGAGCTCGAGAGGTGAGCAAGGCTGCACTTGGAGAGGGAAATGGTGCAGAGACAGAAAGGGGAATACGTACAGTCCAGGGTGGCAGCACAAATAAATGAAGGTGCTTGTCTTAGAAAATTCTAACACAGACTCACAGCCCCCTGGGAGTGCACTGAGAATGAATACAGTACTTTCCAGTTAGTCCTTGTTTCCACGCAGCAAAGTGGTGACCACGTGAGCAGTGTGCGACATGAGGTCGGAGACAGCACCACCAGACACCTGCCTGGCCACAGGATGAGGGAGGAACCTGCTAAAAACAAGCACTTTGTTCTTTCTTCTAGAAAGATTTCTTTACCAAATTGTTCATCCTATAGCTGAATTCTGCTTATGCCACCCTCTGTCTTATCCCTTTACCCTTTATGGTGATATTGGTCTATTTGGATACTAAGAACCATGTCTGATTTTAAGTCTTCCAGATTTTTAAAAATTATTATATCTGTTGGTAATGTAGTTGAAAGCTATGAATTTTCCTATTCATGTTTCACTGTATTCCAAAGAATTTATTTTACTACTATTATTTTTAGTACCGGGAATAAACTCATGACCTTGCGCTTGCCAGCCAGGTGCTGTGCCGCTGAGCCATATCAGCAGCCCCTAAAGACCTTCTGTTCCAGACATCTATTTCAGCTCTAGTTTCTTCTTTGACTTTAACTTTGCCCAATCCATGCTGTGGGTTCTCCTGGATTTGAGATCCAACCATATAGAGGTTTGGGTCCAGCTATATTAGCAGGATGGTGCAGATGGGTGTCACCAAGTAGGTCTTGTACCTTTTTGGCCATTGTCCCATTAGTGTTTATATCACAATAAGTTGTAAAGCTGGGTGATACTGGGATCTAGTGTATCCTGTCCTTCTATGAGGCCTAGTCAAACCTGTATACAAATCGGGGATGCTTAGCAATATTCCCTATAACTTGTGTGAGTCTGTTACAGTGGACTTTCTTCTGTTTCTGAGTGACCTTGTTGCCTAAAGGAAATTATTTAACTTCTTCCATCATTGTGTTTAGAAGAAAGACACATGTATATGGTTGCTGTATTGCTTGGTATTTATTCATATATAGTTATTAAGTCAGATGATATATTTGAGAAAGTTCCCCTGAGCATACAAGGTATGTGCCAGGAACGTAGTGTTAGTGCTGGGGATGCACCACACTGGTGTCCTTAAATATATTTATGAGCAAGTGTTCTGTGGAACTTGGGTCTCCTGGCAGACAGGAAAGAGCTCATTTGAAGGCACTGTGGGCTTGGCTGAGGGGTGGGATAAAAGGGAAGTCACCGCAGAGGCCAGAGTTAGCCTGCTGGCCAACATGAGGGTTCCAGTGGCTCTTGGGGGATTTGGGCACTTATGACTCCCTGTCTTTTCACCCCGGTGCTCTCCCAGGATCTTCGGCTTTCCCGTACACTACACGGACGTGTCCAACATGGGCCGTGGTGCCCGCCAGAAGCTGCTCGGGAGGTCCTGGAGTGTGCCCGTCATCAGACACCTCTTCGCCCCCTTGAAGGACTACTTTGCATGTGAATAGTTCTGCCCAGGCCTGCTGTGGCATTGGGGTATGGGGGCAGAGCCAGGGCCACCTAAGTGCCCTGATCCCCAAAGGTGCTGCCCCCAGCTCTGTCCTTCCTCAGCTCAGCTGTGTGGGGTCTCCCTGTACCCCTGTACCTCAGTTTTCTCCTGCTCAGTCTGAGCAGAGCTACCTGACCCTCTTACAGGGCGAGCCCGAGGTGCAGCCTCCTTGTGCACAATTCAGATCTGGCTGCTCAGAGCGGCCATACATGGTGCTCATTTTTCTTCTCCTAAAACTTTAAAACTTGAAGTAGATAGTAAAATGTTTTTCTCCCCTCTCCTGTTTATACCACTCAGAGAAATGATAGCTAAGATACCAAAACTACAGTGCTGACAACTCTCCAAGACTCAGGTTAATGCTGCAAAATAACCCAAACCAGTTATTGCAAAACTTTTTTAGGAACGTCTGCAACTCCATATTTATAGGAGAATTCAGTTGTAGACACTTGACACTTGAGGGACATTTTAAGGGCCCAGGATGTGTTTTTCTAGGGCTAGTGGAGGACGAAGTATTGTATATGTCTTGAAGTTTACCCCCACATTTCCCTGCCTTGCTGTGGCTGCAGGGCCTAGAGTCTGCCTTTAGAGTGTTTCCCTTGATGATGATTTCAGCAGGGATGATGTCATCATCACCACATTCAGGGCTGCTTTTCCCCACAAACCTAAGGGCAAGGGCTATCTTTAGCTAAACCCCTCCCCCTGACTGCAGTAGAACCCTCTGAGGAACTCAGGAAAGGATGGCCAAATTGTGGCATACAAGCTGCCATATATTACGTGGACAAGTTCCACCCCTCACCACCTCCCTTCTTCCCATTGTGAGTGGCATGGAAGGGTGAGTGAGTTAGACAAGAGGTCCCCCCCCCAACAATGCACCCTCTGGGCACAGGTCCCCTATAGGCACAGGTCCCGTGAGAACCCTGAAGCCCTAATTTAATTCCTCCTCTGTCTTCAAGAAGCTGTGACAGCTAGAACCAGAAGCACATTTCTTACATTGTCCTTGCATCTAAGAGATGGCAGGACAACTGCAATAAAAGCCTGACCCTCCTTCCAGAGATTTTAAAATACTTTTTTATTCTACAATACATCATTTTTTAGAGGGATGGGAGGTTAGGCAAGCTGCATTTCAGAAATGCTGTCGTAATGGTTTTTAACACCTTTTTACTCTTCTTGCTGGTGCTATTTCATAGAATAAGGAACAACTTTTTGACAAGTTTGTGGGGCTTTATATATGGTTTTTAAAAATCTCAAACTTCTATTTTTATGTTCATGTTTTCATTAAAATTTTTTAAAGTGGAGCCACGTAACAAGTATGGGGAGAATATTGTGCCTTGTTTCAACAGTTTTTGGCCGAACAATAATGGATACCTAGAGTTTACCTTATTCTGTTTAATTAAAATCAGTATTTCTCTATAAAAGTCTGGTGTCCCTTTTGTTCTTGTGCAGGTCACTTGGGTGGAACGGGGAAGAGGGAGGGTTCACTACCATGTAAGTATTGGTTGGTGCCAGGTGATTGATTTAAGCATCAGTAGGATACACTGGGGGCTTTAAGGTCTGGCAAAATTCCAGTGAACCAGCATCCTCTGTAGGATTCCTGATTGCTATGAGCTCCTTCTAGTTTCTTCTAGCTGGTTTAGGGATGACTATGAATGTCTAACCTTTGGCTTCCAAGTCTTCATTTAAAGGCTTAGTGTCTGGGATACCCTTCGCTGGACCGTATTTCTTACATAACCACCACCCACTGGAATGCTGGGGGCCAATTCTCATGCTCCTGAGAGATTCTGCTGCACCT